AAAAAGGTGATGCTGCCAGCCAACCATTTCATATGTGTCGTTATGAATCTAAATGTATTCTGAAGAACTGCAGGCATTCTGTAAAAAACGACAGGAAATCTGCGCAATAAAACGCATCAATTTGGACAAATCCGACTTGGAAGAACTAAGCCGAGAAATCAAGGTACTTATCGCTTTGGCGATGTTTCTCATAGTGACAAGAAATTCTGAAATATTCGAATAGGAATGCAAATTTGAAGACCCCATATTTGGACTTTCATGTTTTTGCGTAACTGACTAATAACAAAAACGCACACTAACGAGTTCTTTGTGTGTGTGTGTTTGTTCAGATTTTGTCACCCACTTTCAACTCAGCATTCAGAAAAACTAGTGAGCTTAAATCACGCGAGGACCTTCCTACCCCTCCGTTGCTCTCTTTCGCGCACAGGCGCCCAAGTGATAAAATTAAAGAGTTCTGGCAGGAAAAAGAACTTTGGTTTTCGTGTACGCGCAAGTAAAAATTAAGACAGTGTTGCCAGTCCTACACAGAACACGCAAAAGACTGCCAACAGTTCCGTAAAGTGGATATTTGACGTGTCGGAAGACGATGCACAAGTGCACATGAAACATGTTTTACGCTTGCGGGCTTTCACACAGACAGGTTCTTGTAATTAATGCAAGTGTATTCATTTAGCCGTCGGTTGGCCGCAGCAAATAATCGTGAAAACGTATAACTACACCAGTTTCCTTGAAATTCCGGCTTTATGTTGATACCACAAGACTTGCTGCACCATGAATGCAGTGAGACAACAAAGTTACTGAATTACTTCCAAGTCCTAGATGCCAGTGAAATCAAGCAACGAATGCATCTGCCTCAGACTCCTCGTGGACTACATTTTGTCTAACGGCCAAATAATGGACTTCCCAAGCTGCATTTGTACCCTGTTTCCTTTAAAATAGGCAACAAACAAAAGTCCATTAAGTGGCAGTTTTTTTCCCCGGGGATAACACTCACATCAGCTAAAAGAAGAACCCGACTTGCTAATCTCCTATGTATGGCAGTGGACACATCGGAAAACCATAAAAATACTGAAATTTTTCGAAAAATTCGCTGGATTTCATTCGGAAAACCACAGCCAGTGCACCAGTCGTAAGCAGACGCAGTGATGATTTTTCAGCGTCCTGAAAATCTGGATCGCGCGAAAATCAAGTAGTGGACGCAACCTAAAAACCCCTCTCCCCGCAGATTTTCACATGGACAAAGATTTTGCAAATTGCTTGGCATGTTTTATTTGCAATTTTTTACATGAAATTTCTTTGCGCAGACAATATGGCTGTGCAGACATCCGAATATCCTCAGTTTCTACGCCTCGTTCAGTGTGGAGCGGGAGCTGTGGGTGGTGATGCGATTTTTGAATCGCCGAAGCCTGCGCCAAATTCTGGACCATCAAATACAGGTACGCG